TAATTTGCTCCATCTCCTTTTGAAACCCCCTTCAGTTTTTTTTTTTTTTTTTTTTTTTTTTTTTTTTTTTTTTTTTTAGGGTGAGGAGGGAAAATGCTTTTACGCACACAGGTAGCCAGCCTGTAGTGTGAGACTCCTGAGTTTATCACAGACTACTCACTAAAAAACCCCCTCTACTCTGTTGGACACAGACCTGGAATTGTTTGTCACATTACTTCAAGTCAGGCCAACATGTGACCTAAGCCCACAGGGCTCGCACCGTTTCTGGCATTATTTATTTTTTGACCTACACCGCATCCCGGTCGAGGTCAAGCTTCTTGGCGCGGAGAACACCCTGGATGTAAAGTGACACACAGGTCCAATTGTCCTCACCCTCCATCATCATCGGTATGACCGTGTCCACCGACAGCAGTCCTACGAACTGTTGAGCCTCTAGGCGGGGCCTTTCCCAATGCTGGCAGTGGAAGAAAGTGTGTTCCACGTCATCGGGAATGCCTGGGCAGTATATGCAATCGGGTGACACGGCTTTGCCCATCCTGAACAAGTACGACCGGAAAAAGCCGTGACCCGTCAGAAATTGGGTGAGGTAGAAGTTCACCTCTCCGCACCGCCGATTAACCCAAGGTTGGACCTGTTGTATCAGTCGCCTGGTCCAGAGCCCCCTTGTCTCCTGTTCCCAGCTCTCCTGCCACAGCTGGAAGGTCCGGGTGCGTTCCTCAATACTTGCCTGGTCCTCCCCACGGCGCTGATAAATTGCCTTCCTCTCCGCCGCCAAAAGTTTGACGGGGATGACTCCAGCAACCACCAGGACGGCGGGTTCGGACACTGTTCGATAGGCAGATGCTACCCTTAGTGCTGCCTGACGCTGCACTCGGGCGAGCCGCATCCTATATACCTCCTTATTGAGAGCGTCTGCCCAGACCTCCGCACCGTACAGGAGCACTGACTGGACCGCAGACATCAACAGCCTTCTGCGGCTGGACCGTGGACCTCCGACATTGGCCATTAACCGACTAAGGGAAGAAACCATTTTAGCGGCCTTGTCCGCCGTACGGGTGATCTGGTCTCGCCAGCTGAGCTTGCTGTCCACCATGACCCCAAGGTACTTTGCGGCACGAGTGGTTTGGACTTCAACGTTCCCCACCATCAAAGGCACGATGGTGTCAATCCTCTTTTTAGTCAGAATGACAATCTCAGTTTTGCTCAGAGCGAGCGAGAGACCATGTTCTGCCATCCATGCGTTAATGGTTCGCATGACTCGATTTAGTTTCAGCTGGGCAAGCTCAATGCTACGTGCAGCTATTAAAGCCGCAACGTCATCTGCATACCCAACTAGGACGGTTTCCTCAGGCATCTCGGATCTCAAGAGGCTGTCGTAGGCGACGTTCCAGAGGTCCGGGCCCAGTATGGATCCTTGAGCAGCACCAGAAGTTACATCCATCGTCCTGGAGCCTTCTGTAGTGTCGTAAATGATGAGGCGGTACCGGAGGTAGTCCTCTATCATGCGCATGAGGTATGCCGGGACGTGGAAAGTGTTCTCCAGTGCGTCGAGCATATCGCACCACCTCGCGGAATTAAATGCGTTTCGCACATCAAGTGTTACAAGCAGCACAACCCGACGAGAATAGTTGTTAAACTCCTCAGCTCTCATTACGGCTCGCTTTACCTCCTCAATAGCGTCAACCGTTGACCGTCCCTTCCTGAAACCGTACTGACGAGGGGATAGATTCCCTGCAGCAACCACGGCTGAATTCAGTCGGGAACGGATCAACTTTTCCAAGACTTTCCCAGCAGTGTCCAACATACAGAGAGGTCTGTAAGAGGAGGGTAGGTCTGGGTTTCCTTTTCCCTTCCCCACGAGCACAAGCCTAGCTGTTTTCCAGCAGAAGGGAAACTTCCCCTCGGCCAGACAGGCATTGTACGTGCTCAAAAGGATTTGTGGGTTTATTGAAAAGACTTTCTTCAGGGCCTCACCAGGTACCCCATCCGGTCCAGGAGCCTTGTTGTTCTTCAGGGACAGAACGGCCGCCTCCAACTCCTCGAGACTGAAAAGCGGTACGTCGTCCACCCTTCCGAACTCCCGCAATGGACGCAGTGTGTGAGTCGGGAAAAGGGACTTTACGATCCTCTCCATAGAGGCCCCGTCCATAACGGAAGGTGGAGAGCGGGTGCCAAGCTTCTTGGTTACTATCTTGTAACCAAGGCCCCACGGATCGGAATCGACATCGTCCCTTAATTTCTCCCAGCAACTGCGTTTGCTCCGGTTAATGGCCCGGCGAAGAGACTTCCTTGCCACCTTGTAAGCGTCAGACTTAAGACGTCTATCTTCAGGTTCTCTAGCCCTGGTAGCAAGACGTCTGGCTCTCAATGCTGCCCGTCGTAGTTCTGCGATCTCGGTTGTCCACCAGTACACAGGTCGCTTATCGCACCGGGATATCCTGCGAGGCATTGACTCTTCGCAGGCCGAGACTATCAGCCTCATCAATGATGTAACTGATGTCTCTGCGTGAGCCACGCCGGATGCAGCAGGTACCACTGGCTCTCCCCGTAGTATGACTTCGGTGAATTTGGCCACGTCCAGCTTTTTGGTGTTCCACCGAACGGGCACCTGCCGAGACACGGTAGCTTGTCTCTGATGACTATCCATGACATCAAAAATGATGTACTGGTGGTCACTGGCCGTATAATCCTCTAGGACTCTCCAGGCTCGTATCCTCGGCAAGAGGGACTCAGATGCAAGCGTGATGTCTGGGATCGTTCCCCTCATTCCGGGACGCTGGAAAGTTGGCGTGTTGCCCTCGTTTATGACAACAAGTCCAGCCCTGGCAGCAAAGTCCAGGATGTACTTCCCCCGGGAATTAGTGAGAGTCATTCCCCACTCGACAGCCCTAGCATTGAAATCCCCCGCCACGACAACGTGCCCGGCGGTATCGCGCACGCTCTCTTCCAGGCGGTCTATCTTTCCACGAAAGTCACGGATAGCCTCGTTGGGGGTGAGGTATACACTAAAGTAAGTGACATCCCCGCACCGGACCCAAACGAATCCTCGGCCCTTCGCGTGACTCCTTACCTGCACTTTAGCTGTATTACGAACCCAGAACGCAGCAGTACCAAGTGTATCGGGAAACCAAAGAGATGGGTCCCTGTCCCGGTACTGATACTGTTCGCTGACCAAGAGCGCGTCAACACCGTGTTCGAGGGCAAGCTGACTGAGAAGCGCGTCAGCCGTCCTGGATCGATCTACATTGCACTGGAGGATCCTTATCTTCGTGGTTGGGCTTTCGTTTGTTGTAGTGCGCCTTTAAATGCACTGCACTGCCCAGACCCAGCTATATGTTTAGCGTTTTTATCATTGAGGCCTTTCTCCTTACAGAGGAAACAGGTCTCAACTTTACAGTCCCTACGAGTGTGACCCACCTCCCCGCATCGAAGGCAGTTCTTGCCTCGGTCGGGCCCTTCGCAGTTTCGGGAGGAATGGCCGAAATCAAGGCATTTAAAACACCTCGTTACTTCCACCCTCCGTCTCAACCTGCAATTAACCCATCCAACCCTCAAATGCTGGAGTGCCAAAACCTTACTGGCGTTTGCGTCTGCCATTTCGGCGACCGCCATCCGCTGTTGACTCCGGTTTGGTTTCGTGAGCCACACCCTCAGACTAGCCGTTTGTCCGGCAAGCTCGGGGACAGCTTTTTTTAGGGCATCAATGACGTCATCCTCCGTTGACACGCAATCCATATCCCGAACCTCGACGGACGTCTTGGGTTCGAGAGCACGAACGGTGCCCTGACCTTCCACAGCTGCCTTTAGTTCGGCAGCAAAGGCGGCTTTATCTTTAGACTTACCCAGTTCGAGGAGGACGTCCCCGTCCCGGGTTTGTCTAATCGACCGTACAACCGTGTCGGTTTGCTCTGGCTTAGCCTTGGCCTTGATAACACCCAAGACTTCGGCGAATGATCTTCCCTCCAAAGGCTTGACCAAAATTGCCTCAGTCCTGGGCTTTTTGGGCCGCGACTTTTTAGCGAGTGCCGAGCCAGGCACAGCTTGGGCCACGCCGGTCGATTGCGCCCTCACTGCCACATATGTCTTGGAGCCGACTTCCGCGTGCCTCAATTTCCTCTTCTCCTTTTTCGTAAGGCGCTTTTCCCACACAGTCCCAGATGGTGTTTCTACGACTGACCCCTTTCGGGAGCTACCCTCAATGGGTGTCGCAGGTTGCTGTGGCTGTTGAGGTTTCGCTGGAGCGGCAACTACGTCAGAGAAGGACCTAGAAGTCTGGGTCGCCTTGACCTTAACTTTAGGCTTTGCTGTCTGAACAACCTCTTCTCTTTTTGGAGGGCTTTCTGATGTAGGCCTCCTGCGTTTCTTGGAAGGTCGCGCATTGTCGTCAGGTAGGGACACCACCTTCTCGGCGATCCTTTCCATGGCCGCCTTGCTCACCAGCCGGCAGGCGAAGACAAAACCAAGGTCGTCCTCGAGCTTAGCCATGCCATTTTTAACCACTTGGTTAACTCCTCTCTGCGTCTTAAAGGTTTCAAGCATTGCCTTTATGGTCTGCTCCATGTTTCGAAGCCGGTTTTCAATGTCATTTTCTGCGTCGAGATATTGCTGACGCAGAAGTACCATTCCCGACACTTCCAAATCTAACGCTGTTGTTAGGGATTCCTCCGGCATCCCTTCACCAGACTTAGAGGGTGGTCCACCGTTTCCTTCTCCACTTGTCAAGGGAGATCCCAAAGTCAAGTCTTTTGTACACCTGAAAGATGCAGGTGGAGGGGACGTCTTCACGCCTTTCAATGTTGGCGATCTCTGGACCTTGGAGCTTCGCCCAAAAGGGTCTCGCTCTACTTCCGACTTCTTTTCTTGCTCATTCGAGCTACTTATTAAAGATGTGTTCAGGGTATTTGTTATAAAAGCCATCTTGTGTTTACCAGCGCATCGTGCGGCAAGGGGCGGCCCGGAATAGTCAGGAACGGGTATACCCTCGGGGACAGCGCCCCTACCCCAGTTCCCCGAGGCCCAACCTCCGTTTTCCCAGCACCGGATACCTGACGTGCCGGGGGTCACCCGTCACAATGTAGAGCCCGACCTCTACATCCATGCCGCACTCCCTGACCAAGGACCGAAATGGCTGGTTTCTCACGACTCACTGAGAATACCCATCGGCAGTGCAGAGCACACATCAACCCCTGCAAACACAACAGGGGCACTCCCAAGGACTCCCAGTGAGAGCGTCGGTCACCCTTTTAGTCGCCTCTTACGACAAGCCCGGGAAGGCTGCGGTTCTATTCTAACCCCGAAACCGCAGGGGCTAAACCCCCCCCCCCCCCCTTCAGTTAATATTCGAATCGTGACAAATAATCGCCATCTATTTAGTAAACACAACCAAAATTTGTATATTCAAATTTGTAAATTTAAAACTCCCATGCTATTCTTATGAATAAGTTAACTGTAGTTTGCTTGTTTATAGATGTATTATGATACAACTTGGAAAATTAGTTATTTGATACTAAGTTGTGGATATTTTACTAAAAAAACACACTATAAAAAACTACATGTAGCAGCAAACCTATGTACCTGTTGAACCTAATTTTATTTATATACATTTAATAAAACATCCAACCAAATGGATATTTTCTGAGTCTGCAAGTTTGCTGTGGCGGGGTTGTTTTACTCATAAGATAAAGTTAAATTTTAAGATTTTATAGTATCACACTATTTAATTAAATGAGATGAATTATCCTAAACCTTGAAAGTAGCCGTCAATTTCCATGTGATTCACCTATTTTTGATAAATAGAAAAAACTAAATATACTTAATCAGAAATACACTAAAAAACCGTTGGGTTTAGAGAAAGATGATAAATACAAAAAATGTGTACCGTAGAATGGGGTGAATAGAAACACTTTTTGACTTTTAAGCTTCGGTAAAACCGATATTTTTAATTTTTAAATTTTCAACACTAGCTCATATTTTCGGTCTTGAACTCCTCTACTCAAACCAGTTATCAATTTTTTTTTTCTTTTTAATCATTAAGCAGAAAAAAAATAAAATATGGCTGTTTCTATTCACCCCGCACTTTGGGGTGAATAGAAACACTGTGTTAAATTGATGATTGTTGCTTTTCCTCAATTACCAGGGGCAATAGAAACATGAAATTTATGCTTGTTAGCTTAGGTTGTTGTAAATAAAAATATTTAAAGTTAATTAACACATTTATTTATAAGTACGAAGTATAAAAACGTCGTTTTCATAAACCCTTATCCAAACAAATCGGAGAATATAAATGACAATGGGTGAAATCAGAGTAACAAAATCTTACATAGAAACCAACTAAATGAAGAGTAAAATCAGACAAATCATCCTCAAAATACAACACTCCCTTAAATCTACAAGTTGTACACGGCTTGGGAGTTAGAAGCCGATCGTACTACGTCATCGACTTTGAAGAGGGCCTCTTAATCTGTCTCTCAGAACTTGTTGGTTTGCGCAATTTTCTTAATGAATCTTCCTATTTATCCTTCCTCGTCAAATTTAATAACTTTTGCAACATATAAACGATAGCAAGTTTTGTTTTTCCCCATTACTTTGACAATTACATGATCATGAAGGGACAAATTTGAAGACTCACTGATGTCTTGAGCTAGGTATGCTGGTTCTTCTTCATCAAATTGTTCGTCTTTGTCACTTTCTTCCAGTGTGACTGATGTAGAATCATCTTAATCTCTGGTATTTTTTTTTCTTTTTTGGGGGGTTTTCAGGTCAACCTTTATTTGCACCACTGGTTCAAAAAAAAGTGTTTCTATTCACCCTGGTTTTGCAAAATCATGACATAACCTAAATTAAAAATAAAGTAAAAAAATATAGTTTACTCTAAGGCTAATCTATTAACACACTTGGTTTTAAGATACCTAAGACAATATAAAAAATGGTTATTAACATAAATACATGTAATAGGTTCATACTTAGAGAGAAAGTTTTGAAAAGAATGTTTTTCGCAAAAATTGTCAAATGATGTTTCGCATCATCCAACATCCGAAGCAGTGATACCAATATGCTAAACTAATTTTTCCCAGGTAGATAGGATATGGTTATAATGGGGGAAAATAAATCCCTTATATAAAGTCAATGTATAACAAAGTTATAAAAATGTGAATCATTCATTGAAGTTTTGTTTCTATTCACCCTGTTGTTTCTATTCACCCCATTTTACGGTACTTTTAGATGGACTAGGGACATTTTGTATATTTAGCTTTTTCCTGTATCTCCAATAATAAAGTCACTATAGCGAAAAATACAGAAATATGCTGCCATTTTCCAATATGGCGGCCGTAGCACAGCTTCAATTTTAGGTGACTTTTAGTATGTTTAAAAGGAAGGTATACCCAACATCTGTACCAAATTCCCCGGTTGTGCTATTTTTTTTTGTCAAAACATATTTTTATTGTACTACAATACTTATGATCATAAATGGAGAAAGTATTAACATTTTTTAGTTTAGACTTTTGGGGTTGAGGTTAGATTGGTTTTCTTACAGAACTACAGACCACGCCTGTGGCCCAATTTTGGTGAAATTTGGTATGTGGGTTAATCAATGGTATCTCCTGACAATTTTTCATTTTTTAAACTTAGAATTTTAACAGGGATTTTCCCTTGAAACCCCATAAAATAACTGAAAAGTAATTTACAAGAAAGGCTCTAACAATTCCCATTAAGATTTAGTGTGCAATAGTACTTTTAACCCTGAACAAAATGGCACAACACGGAGAGCAGTAAATTTTACAGTTAAGAAATCATTGCAGTTTTGTGATTTTCCTCAAAAATGTAATCTCCCTTTACTCCCTTTAACTCATTATAATATTGTTTACCTTTATAAAAGTAATTGTATGTTCAAATAATGCCGGGCTAATAAACTGACCTTACATATACTAGTATATGTATATGTTATATAGTACTGGCACAGTTAATTTACACTACGTTTCAAATAATCTTTAAGTAATTGAATTAATTTTTGCCACCATAAATTATTAGTATTACCGTAAGTTAATTTTTCAAAACCTTACCTTTACTATCAAACAATAAGAATATTATCAACCAATGTTACTAAAGGTGAAAAAGGGTTACCACAGCCTTAACATTTTTATTAAGCTTATGATAGTTAAAAAATACAAGTCAATACTATAAAACAATCTATTTAAACAGCACTAACAAATAAATACAGTAATTAAACTTATTTAATTGATATCGATTGTTTGACTGATTAACATAGTTTAATACAAAAATGCTATATTTAAATCACGTTTATTATATAAAAATTATATTGTATTGCACAAAATAGGCTAATATACATAACTTATAAAATACTGGGAAGAATAATGATAATATATCCTGGAACACTTAAATAATAATGAAATAGCGTCCTACAAACCAAATTACACAAAGTCAAAGCATTAGCTAATCGAAAAAGCAAAACATAATAAATGGCAAATACTTGTCATATTCAATAAAATGTAACACTAGTAAACTTTATTTTTTATTAATAATACGAAAACAGCTTATATAATAATACCTGACTAGTTCTCATTTAACCATTTTAATAAATCAACCCTATTCATATAAATTACTTTGTCATTTCATCCCTTACAAATATAATTCATATTTAAAAATATTTATTATTTAGACTCAAAAGACAATCCTAGATACAATAGACAATAATTCATATTTTTTTCCAAGTTGTTGAAAAGAGCGTGTACAATTTTTGGATGATTAAGTACATAAAAATCAGCTTAATATAAATTGACATAAACACAATTTATTTTAATTATAACAGATATGTAATAGATAACGATATACTTTTTATTAAAGTTACATGACGCTATAAGGAAATAATAATTAAGGTTATTAATTATAACAGTAATAAGGGTTACTAACACCAAAATATAAACATAATTATTTTTAAATATAAAAAATACTGTACAATATAATAAAACCTACATAAAACACAGGCATAATGCCAAATGGATTTTAACATCTGGCCATCCTACTTGCAGAAAACATTTTAATATTTGGTACAATAGTAGTTTCTTCATGGAATGGACGACTGAAAACATTGATTAAATAATACTAGAGGTCGTCCAGTGGTCGAAAACTCAACCAAAAATATGTAATGTACAGACTTTTCTATTTTCACCCCGACCTGTGACTGGAATTTCTTTAATTTTTTATTTTCTGTTTATATTTCGTAGTTATTTCGTCACCAGCTTGGCAACTCATAAGGTCCATGTTAATTTTTTAATTTTAAATTCATTTTTTGTATTTTATTTTGAGACTATTTTTATTTGTAAAGGGATTCTGCACATCTACAGGAAAATATCTCTAAAACAGTATGCGTGGATTTTCCCTCCGATCCACACAAGCTGAGAAAAAAGGTTTCAGAGAAACATGCTTGCCTATTAATATATAGATTTTATGCATAGTTATTACTGTCTTATTGAACTAATTTCAGAGTGTTTTGAAACGTTCGTCCCTTTGAATTTTAGAGCTAATTAAGCTTGAGGTATGCCTATTTTTTTTAATAATTTTAGCCAATTATTATATGGGAAATAAGCTATTTTGGCTTAACATAGACCTGAGACCGATTCATTTATTTTTTTTTTTATGTACCCAAAGGCCAAAAAAGCTATCCATTAAAATTTAAATACAATATTTGAGTAAAGGTTTTTATATATTACCCCTGACATCAAGTGCATTAGATTTTACCGTAAGAGGGTTTTGTGCAATCCTAAAATGTGTTAAGGTATTAAAACTATACCAAAAACACTAGAAAGACCACCAGAGTCATTGGTTGGCGGCAGCCAATCACAAGACAAGGCTAGTGCGAGGTTGCCATATCGCCCGTAGACGACACTTATTAAAATACTATACAGTATTTTCAAATCTGCTGGTATTATTAGATTTGGTAACACCACACTGTCCTCATTGGCTCCTTCGAAGTCACATGGTAAATAGGCTCCTCCCTCAACTGCAGACCCTTGTGGTCCCTACTATAGATTAAATTGTGCTCTTTTTGTCATGATGTTTTTATTTCAAACGTCTACGCCATTGGCATTTTGTATTGATAGAAACTGAAACACTTTTAAAAGAAGGCAGTCATAACCCCTATGGAAGTTTTTAGTTTTAAAGATTTTTTTAAACTGTCCTAAAGTGTTTGAAAAAATATTGGTTGGAATTCATTTCACTCACACAAAAGTAACAAGCTTAGGTTATTTTTGTGTTTAATTTTCATCCCAGCAGCAGGGCCGCCCCGAGGGCAGGGCGAGAGGAGCGACCGCCCTGGGCGCCGCAGCTAGGGGCTTTGGAAGGTAAAAATGTAACAATGTTATTGGCAAACCGCAAACAAATATTTTACCGGAAACTCGCAAACATGTAATCAATGACAATGACTATTAAAAAAAAGGCAAGATAGCTTTCGTTTTATTTATAAAATAAATACCGTTATTTAATATACAACTCGTACTATTACTACTTTTACATCTGGCATGTGACTTAAAAATTGGCAATACTGCGAGGCCAAGATACTCACTGCGTATTCGCGACGCCCCACATACACTTGCTTGTTTCTAACCTCAAAGCTCAACAAACTCACGTCAACTCATAGTCGTTTTGTGATGTCCGTTGTCAGTCGTAGCATAGATAAAACATAGTACCAGTATGTTTTATCTATGGTCGTAGATTCAATGTTTTTAGTAGCCTAATTTAGTTCAGTTTAGTTGTTACATTTATAAAGAATACTATGCAAAACGTTCAATATCGATATATCGGATGTTGGGTCTAACGACGGCTGAAGACGCAAACCCCCAAATACCTTTTTTGGGAAGGGGCGAAAATTTAAATCTCGCCCCGGGTGTCTATTACCCTCGGGGCGGCCCTGCCCAGCAGGATTTTATGTGCTGAGTGGATGAAAATGTCACTTCCAATTGCATAAGGAATTAAAGAGGCCCTACAACACATCCACTTTCTCTTGCATAGATAATAAACTAAAATACAATATTATTAATCTGCCGTTCCCTAGGAATACAAATTCAAATACCACAATAAAACATTTGTACATAACACCTACTATTGTAGGCCAACGTCATTCGATAAAAATATTCGCTTCCTTGTTGAATACGTTTTGAGTCATGTTGAGCTTATTTACTGAAGGATGACGTAGTTTGCAGGAAATAGTCCGTACTGACCCCTACAGTAGCCTCTCCACCAGCCTTCATCAATCTAGACACAGGGAAATGTGTTAAAAACAATCTTGCCAACTTTGGAAGTTTGAAATCGTGAATATTTATTAATAACGTGTTAGACATCTAGACTGACATAAAGATATACCAAAGACTGCAAAAGTTGCCATTTATAAAACTTATTACATGTACCGATAGTTACCTATGGTGCAGAAGTTTGGAATATAACAGAGAGTGAATGGAGAAGGGTTCAGGCGGGAGGTGAAGTTTGTAAGAGGTATTAAAGGGAAAACAAAATTGGATAGAATTAGGAATGAAGAGTTGAGAAGAGAAATAGCTGAAGAAAGTTTGAAATATTTAGTGAAGAATTCGAGATTGAGATGGTTTGGGCAGTTAAAAGAATGGAAAGTTATAGAATCGTCAGAAAAATGAGTTAGCTTTACATGAACAGGAGAAGACCAAGAGGAAGGCCTAGAAGGTGGATCGACGAGGAGAGACAAGATGTGAAGCAAGAGGAGTGCAGTGGCAGTATGTTGAAGAAGAGGAATTTTGGAGGGACAGAAGAAGATGGAGAGGCCTAGTGAACACCCAGACCCAGAGATAACCTGGTATATCCGTATTTATGTAACGGACCATGTAGACCTATTTTTAGCTGTATGATTAAGTTTGTGAATTTTAACAAGTTTTTGCCAATGCAATATTTTTGTTAGGAAAAACTATAATTTGTTTTAAAATTTCAAAATAGTAATCACATGGTATTTTTTTAGAGTAGTAGACCTGAACAAGACAAATGAAGACAGGAAAATACATAGAACGGATTAAGAAATGAGAGGCTTATGGCCTGTCAGATTAAATTTAAGACCGGGTGTTCTAATACTTAATATAGGTGTCACCTTAACACAAGTTTAGTAAAACTAATAAAACAGTGCTACTCAAACGCAATAGTAAATGAGCATATGAGACAGAAGAAAGTTGATTTTTACTAGATAATAATTATCATTTGATCAATTCTAATTTATAAATATTGTCTGGTATAACAGGTTGACAGAACCTACTATACTAACAAACTCCAAAGCCTCAAAGTAGAAATAAAGACAAATGAAAACATATTTATTTCAGAATACAACAGAAATATTTATATTACATTAATGTAAATAGTGTGTAGGTATGCAGGAAAATAATTCCCAAACTATATCTCTGTGTTTGGGAAAGGAAAGATACTAAGAATAAAGATAGAAAAATGATAAAAGTAATAAATCTTGAGGCTCTACATTGGCGTTGCTGGAGTAATAAAACACCAACTGTACTTTGTTTTTATGTATAATCTAAAATCAGTTTAATTTTAACTTAGGTCTACAACAACTTGTCTTAAATACAGCTCTTTACAGTCATGAAAATGTGGCTTCTAAAATGTCAGTGTAAGCAATTTACAATTTGGTTAGATAGAACTAAACAATAGTCAAAAGAACTAGATAAAAAAAACACCTTTGATGCTCATGCAGACTGGCTAAACAATCAATATTTTCTGAAGACATATCTCTAGGTGAAAAAGTTTGCCATGGAAGTCTGTTCTGGGGAACTGTTTCAAAGAAGGTTTTTTTGTGAGGCAGAGGAGGGGCTTCCTGGCATTAATTATTACCAGACGAGTGAAAAATAAAACGCTTTCACGCATACAGGAGGCCAGCCATTGATCAGACTTATAACTAAAAACCCCTCTACTCTGTTGGACAAAGACCTGGGATTGTTTGTCACACTTCTTTAGGTCAGGTCAACATGTGAGGCCTTCAAAGGCTTGCATCATTTCTGGAATTCAGTTCGTTTATGACGTAGGCCACATCTCAGTCAACGTCGAGCTTCTTGGTGTGGAGTGTACGATGGACGAACTGTGACAAAATGGTCCAACCATCCTCACCCTTCGTCATCATCCGGTCGAATGTGTCAACCAACAACAGTCACATTGAGTCACATGCTACATGTTGTTGAGCATCCAGGCGGATGAAACAGCCTTGCCCATCTTAAACAGGTAGGGCCATAACAGCCATGACCTGTCTGGGTGAGTTAATAAAAAATATACCTTCCTGTACTGTCGATAGACACAGAGTTGGACTTGCTGAATCGGTCACCTGGTCCAGCGTCCCCATGTATCCTGTTCCAAGCTATCATGCCAGAGCAGGTAGATGCGGGCACGCTTTTCTGTTCACGCCTGGTCCTGTCCACGCTGCTGATAAATTTTCTTCCACTCCACCGTTAGAAGTTTGATAGGTCTGACTCAAGCGACCACCAGGGCAACAAGATTGAACACTGTTTGGTAGGCAGATGCTACCCTGAGTGCTTCCTGAAACTATACACAGGAAAGCCGCATTCTGTACACCTTTTTGTTGAGCGCATCTGCCCACACTCCCGCACCAATTCAGGAATACAGACTGGACCATAGAACAGCTTTCTGCAGTTCTATGATGCCCAGGAAGTATGCCACGTGGAAGCTGTTCTTAAGAATGTAAAGCATTTTGTATCACCTAACGGAATTAAGTTTGTTTGTAAATCAAGTGTTATGAGCAGCACAACCTGACAAGAGTAAAGGTAGAAATCCTATGCTTTTTATCAACCAAGCAAAAGACAAGAAGAAAACCTGTCATCAGAGAAAGTGAGAGTAAGTAGGGAAGCATGAAGAGAAGTATCTCCCAACCTCTGTTAGTTGCCTTACAAAATGCCGGGGAAAGCTGCAATTCTATTCAAACCTGGTAAACTCCATAGTCAATTCTGGGAGTACAGTATTAGCTAAATGTAGACAGCTAATCTGTTGAGAGCTACAAAATGCTTAGGTAAAAAGCCTTACTAAACCTCACAGTTTGCAGGTTTGATGCAGAGATTTCAAACTGCCAATTTAGGCCTATCTAGACTAGAAAAAATGAGACAAGTAGGGGAAAATTCGGAGGACCAAGAGAACTGGCAACAACGTGTTGGCGAGGCCAAGTACCAGCTTGGGTACAATTGGCCATGGCAGTAATTAAGTATGTAAGTATTTTAACTAGACACATTCACTAGCCTAGATTCATACTGAGCAGTATAGTGCCTGCCCCTTGCAGGTACAGACAAAAACATAATTGAAGGGTTGAGTGGATGAAGAGGGCAAGTAACAATTTTGTAAAATTTAGTTAGATGCATGGATGAAGGGTGTAAGTGATGCTATATATAGTACACTGACTCCCATAGTCCTAAGTATAATAACAGCTGAGTTATTTTTTTAACTTAGGGGTTAAGTACAGGAAATGCACCCAAATGGAGTGTATAAAGGTGGTAAGTGCTTCACTTGCCCCCTTCATCCACTTAAAGTTTCACTTACACCCTTCATCCATAACTCTTTGTGCTCACTTGCCCCCTTCATCCACGTAAAGTTTCACTTACACCCTTCATCCATACTCTGTGTGCTTCACTTGCCCCCTTCATCCACGTAAAGTTTTACTTACACCCTTCATCCATACTCTCTGTGCTTCACTTGCCCCCTTCATCCACGTAAAGTTTTACTTACACCCTTCATCCATACTCTCTGTGCTTCACTTGCCCCCTTCATCCATGCAAAGTTTCACTTAACCCCTTCATCCATAACTCTTTGTGCACTTGTCCCCTGCACTTACCCCCTTATTGTTAGGTAATAGTAGCGTACGTACTGCAGCTAACATCATATCCAAATCAGCTGACAATGAAAATTACCTTGAACATTTCCTATTTGCATTTTAGTGCGTTTTAAAAATGTATCGGACCGTATTGGATCCACTTAGTACAATGAGTTGTTAGCTATTCTTTATAGGTAACTGCTTCCAAGAAGTAAAAGATTGTATATGAAAAAGAAATATTTCTTAGAAAAATTGTAGAGATAAGACTGATAAGCATCTACTAAAAGACAGTTATTACTTGCACATTTAAAAAATATTTAGTATTTTCAATATTGTGGTATTTTTTTTGCATAGCTGGCTTTTAGTTACTATTTTTGGACAAAATTACAAGTCAGCACATAAAGTCTATGATAAAGACTTTAAGTAAGTTTTCTTGTTACATTTAAGTTTATTTTGGTGCAACAACCTTATTTAAATGTACTTTTTATGGTAACATCTTGAAATAAATGATTTTTTTTTACCAAAAATAATTTATTTCAATCGTTTACATCACTTAACCCCTTCTTCCACTATGAAACAATTTTTTTAAGTGGATAAAGGAGGTAAGTAATAGAAAAGTTAAAGTTTTAATAGTAAGGAACATTTCAATTTTTATTAAGGAACGCGGCAGCGTTCCGCCCCGCCAAGTCCCCCAGCGGTACACAGCTGCTGCAGTGTATATATATACATGACGTGACAAAGTGGCTTTTTTACTCGTCTATAGCTCTGAAGAAACAAAAGCTATTAAAATAATTGTTCATCTACTGGATAGGGGCAATCATTAACAACAAAATTAAAAAAAAGAATTTAAAAAACGGTTGTGTTTGAGCCAAGAAAAACTAGTTTGAAAATTCACAAATTTTCCGTGTTCTCCTTCTTCTCCTTAAATGTTGACGGACCTACAGCCCAAACCACTGGCTCAATTTTAATGTTTTTTATGTTGTTTGAAAGCCCTTAGCGTGTAGATGTGCCTTTTGAGGGTCTCAAGTCGGTGCGTTGACCCATAAACCCTTGGCAAGCCCTCAAAGTACGAGTTTGGCCCATTTAAATAACATGGGATTAAAATCAAAACAAAAGAAGGACCAGCTGCGATTAAATCTTAATTAATTAAATGTTAGAGAAATTCATAGGAACAGCTGAAAAATTATTTTAATACTTTTATAAAGTATTTTTTTCAGGTATACTGAATGATTTGAACTACTTACTATATAAAATTACTTAGAGCAGTGATATTCCCCGATACTTTCCATTGAAAAATGCAGTGTACCGATGGTACACTGGTACAGCAGCTCGTCATTTTTAACAGTTTAATACTACTTATCAAAACATATGAAACCTAGGAACTTGAAACTTAGTACTAGTACGCTAGTACTAAGGTTTGTTCTATGTTTTGATACACTAAAACAAATAAAACGATCGGGAAAATCACTCTAAATATGTTAAACAAGCAATTAAAAAGTGATATGTAAATTTAGGATAAATTAGTTATTCAATATTTGTTTTGCCTTATGCTATTTCTAACAAACCTAATTAGTTTGATTACATTTTTACATCTCTAACTAGCTGTGTGCCCGTTCTACGCACGGGGATCTTATCACAGTCAGTTAAAACCTTCTTATATAAAGCACAGCAATTGGTTTGCATACTTTCAGATATGCTGACAAAACTATTCCTTCGCAAATACAGTATCTGACAGTTTCAAGCCAAAACTAATGCTTCGCAATTAAATGTCACCCGGATCATATGTTATATCCAATGATTAAACTAAATAAACGGTATCAGCGTTCTGACACATACTTTCTCCCATAAGTTTGTCAACAACCTTTATCATGTGTAAGCGGTGAGAGTAAATATACGGAAATGGGATTTGTACAATTTTGTTCAGAATTTAAAGGACTATAACATAATGGTTAAAAGTATTTAAGGTACTACCTCAACCTCTTAATTTAACACTTTATTCGGGTTGACATTTTCATTATCAAGGCGCTCTTGTCCTTTCCGTGAAACATTGAGAAACAAGGACATTAATGCGTTACCATCATACATACACACAAAAATACCGAACTTAATTAGGGAATCTGCTACGCTTTAAGCATAAAAAGGTACATATAAAATTAGTACTTGAAATCTTTGTTAATGCCATAAAATTTGATCATAACAATTTATATTTGCTTGGACCGGAGATGACTCGAAATTCTGTCGAAATGCTATCTGAATCGGTTTGCTATATGAAATGAAGTACAGTAGGCCTACTATAGACGATTTAGATTGGTAATTTGTAATAAAAATTACCAAAATAGGCCACGAACTATTGATACATAAACAACGTTCAAAGTGTTTGAACAATTCATGATGGTTTGCTGAATAAATGTTTTACTAAAATGCGTTATAGTTTTCTTAGCATAACATTTTGGAATCCAGACAGAAAAAGCAAAAATTATACAGTTAAGACATCAATTAAATTGAATAGGCCTACGCCTGTAATAAATAAGGTGCAACACCAACGATAACTAATTTGTAAATTACTGTGATGTGTTGGTACGTAAAAATGATTCTTGCTGCTACTAAAGGTTAAAAGGAAAAGAACCAGTACCGTAACAAAAACCAACGTTTACAGTTAAGAACTGTAGTGCAGCCGACCAATTATATGCGTTAATCAAGGTTATTGATCTCTTGGTTTTGGATTTTCTCGTAAAAAGTTATCGGCAATCAAAGTTATTTCCCATTAATTGCTTTATTTGTACACAACTCTTAATGTAAACTTATCGGTGTCAGTTTGAAAAAAAAACCTTATACAACATAACTTTCTGTTATTTAATAGATTACGTATTCTCTAAACAATGGTTGCTGGTATATATATTAACATTATAAGGAAATGTGACAAAAATCACACAACGTTGGGTTTTTGGACGTTTATAATTTTATTTCTTAAGTACCTAGGTAGGCCGTGTATTCTATGGAAAAGTACCGGTATCAAGGATCGTTGTCGAAAGGGTTGTTATAAATAATTGGGTAAGCATACGTACCACACGTACCCAAGAGAAGGGCTATGGGCCTATTGGCTGTATGGTCCAGCGATTGCATCACACGGTGAGTAGGAACTATTGACTTTATATAGTCAATGGTAGGAACAGAAAGTGACACATTGGAAAATCGAGTTCAGCATCATCCGTAAACCTCTGTTACAATCACCCACTGCAGTTGTAATTTTTTGCTCTACACTTTACACAACCGCCATTGAAGAGCCGTCAATGAGTGGAACATTGTTTCTAAGCTATTGGCGACGGTCATTAGTAACTTTAAGTTTCCCAGCCGTATACAACACTGATTCAATCTTGATTCAATGTCTTCTTTCTGGTTCTCAAAACTCCAAAACAATTTTATACACATATTTCTGGTTCCTGACCTGGATGATGCCTAGTTATTTAATTTACGGTTACACTATATTATTCCACTTGCGATTAATTAAACCTTTATGTAATAAAAACGTTTTTAATCTCACTTGGATGGGATTTGCCTTCAAAACGTGATCGGAAATGGTTGTGGTGTTTGTAAACAACATTTGTAAACATTTCAGTGACAGCTAGAAAAAATAATCTTGATCCGAACAGCTGTTCGTTGTTTCATAGATGATTATGTGATACAAATTGGAAGAAAACTTGACAAAAATCGCACAAAACTGCATTTTTGAACGGCCGTAATTTTAATTACAAAGTAGTGAGACCATATTTTAATGGCTAAAGACACTCTCGCCAATCCAGTGAATAGATTAAAATGACTTGGGTCTTGATAGGTACTCTCGTTTTCCTGGAGAAGATTGCGTAAAATGCCATCTTGAGTGTGTCAGACAGACAGATAGACAGACAGACAGACAGACAGACAGACAGACAGAAATTTAGATGAGACTTGTTTCGGCTTCTTTAATGTATAAAACGTAAAAATAACCTAAAAATGTATGATTCTGAGCAATTTACAGACAAAACTCTAATTTTATTTATATAGATAAGGGCTCAATTTACACTAGTCTTTAGATATACGGGTTTAATTATTAGAACACTTATGTAACATCAACACATTTTATGTTGTTCAAGATGAGCATTGATGAAATTTGAAACTGAGTTTAATCCCAGTGGGTTTGTTAAATAGTAATTTTGGTACGTGTGTCAAAAAGTTTTTAATCTGTTTAAAGCAGATAAGACCAAAAATGTAGAATTTAGTTCTACATTAACAATATTATTGAAATTAAATGAGATGTAGTTGTGCCGTGGTCTATATATCAGAGAAAAGAGGATTTTTATTTTAACTGTTAATTTTCTACAAAAATAAATAAAATCTAACAAAAAACCACTAAGTGGTAACACTTTCCCCGCCAAGTCAGCAAAAAAGTTAATAAATCATTACTTTTTCCGCCAAGAAAAACAATGTAATGTATGTAAGTTTGGCAACTTGGCGGCAGACTTATGCTCGATCCCTTTAAAAAATACCATAAAACTAGTTTCATTGAGCAAGTATCCCTCCCATTGGTACATTGCTAGGTGAGAGCTTATTTTACAAAATTTGACCTTATTTGTGCCACATTTCATAAATTATACTTAGTTGGACTAATTAATTAGAGAAGTTGATTTGTGAAATTATCCACGAACGTAACTTAAATGAAAAAAACCAAGCAAAAGTCTGCCGCCAAGTTGCCAAACTTACATACATTACATTGTTTTTCTTGGCGGAAAAAGTAATGATTTATTAACTTTTTTGCTGACTTGGCGGGGAAAGTGTTACCACTTAGTGGTTTTTTGTTAGATTAAGTATTGCGCAAAACATTTTACTTCTCTGCCTTTCCTAATAGCATTTTAAGAATGAAAAAAATAAAAAAGTTATAACCTGCAAACTTTAGGTCCATTTATCTCAAAAGTAACAAAATGTGACCCCCTTCATCCACTCACCCCTTAAATTTGCTTACCAGATAGCACTCACATTTAATACTAGAACTGTATAGCTAGTACACTATGCAACAGACTCTACAATGTAAACCTTTATAATTTATAAGCTTTACTGACCTAACATTGAGGTTAGATTTTACACTTACCATTTCAATGTTCGTTATCACATCATCTGGATCAAATGATATTTCATCACCGGCAGCTGTAAACAAAACAAAAGCAGTTAATCAATTTTGAATCAACTTCTTTATCAATAATAAACAAACAGCCAGTATCCCTAGTCCCAACACTTTTTAAAGCTCTTTTAAACAACATTTCACAATAAATTACAGAAAAAAGTACAGTAGAACCCCTTATATACATCAAATGTGAAAAATATTATGTTAACAATGTGTGAAACAATGAAAAGTCATGAATATTGTATATTTGTGTCCTGAAAAGTGGCTGGATAAAGAAATGACTGAAAAACTAGGGACAAAACATCAGGAGTTTATTTTAGGGTGAATCAATGGCAGTGGTTATACGATTTTAAATAACCAGTAGAACACTCAGTTATCCGTAGACTGGATTTTCATCAAAAATGGGGTTTTAATAGTGTGTGTCAAATTATACATTTCATATTAACACCTCTATTTGGTGGCTCCAACAGTTTATTGAAAATGATTTAAGGCGACTTGGAATATCCTTTAAAGAGAAAAAAGCTCAATGACAAACCCACTCTACTGGTCAAAGTTGTTGAAAATGTTCTACTCGTCAAACCCAACTCAAGTGGATGACACCTTGCTATGATGCTACTCATCCTTTCATATGATTATTAAATTTATGTACAGGACTAATTACGTACAAACTAGACTACTATAAAGAAAAAACCCTATAAGCACTTACACGCTTGGTAGTCGTAAAGTGCGACGGCAGAGTAGCCGGTTTCCTCTAGTTCATAATTCTCTACTCCTTCCACCTCGGGTTCAGGCTCCACCTCAGGTTCAGGTTGTGCCTGTACCAGTTGTGCTGGTACAGGTTGTACCGGTACCGGTTGTGCTGGTACAGGTTGTACTGGTACCGGTTGCCTTACTTCAGGCTGTTTCACTGGTTGTGGTTCTGGTTGTACTACAACTTCCACAGCCTTGGGAGCCGGATGTTCCGCTACCACCACCGGAGGTTGAGCTGGTGTTATTCTCACTGGTTCTTCCTTCTCCAGGTAGTTCTAAAACATATTTTTAATGAAAGATAAGCATTTCTAATACACAACATTCTGACATCAATAATACACTGGTGATCGGTTTTTCAGTTAACGGACGTTTCACATGACTGGGCTTCGGATAATTTAAGTTCAATTGCATATCATTCAGTAAAGTTCTTGAGGGATATATAAAAGCTCTAATAAAACTTTTCACTTTTAACATTTAAATTAATTTTTTTAAGTTAGGCCTAGCCCTATTCAAAATGTTTAAACAGGGTGTCTACCGAATTTCTTACATGAAATTTTCGACATTTTCCTGTCTTTTCATTGCCATAAAAGAAATTCCAACCGAAAATCAGTCCATTCTCCATTTAATACAACTTTTCCCGTCTTGTAGTCACCATACAATAGTCAACATATATCGCAGTGATGAACACATCACTGCGATATATGTCACAGTGACATATGAACACATCAACATATATCGCACCACCTTGAACATCTCCTGCGATCACGACACCATTGTCAACATGTCCTACACTTGAGTCGCGATCGTCAACATATCCTGCGATCACAGAGCTTGGGTGAAGACCTCTCGTGATCACAGCACCATCGTCAACAAGACTGCACTAGTGGCACGATCATCAGCATATTTTGCGCTCGCTGTGGGATCATTAACATATCTCGCGCTCCCGGCCCGATTAGAACTCCTGCAATTAGCTCTGTATCGGAATATATTGGGCAGAAACAAGGTTTCACAGTTTAATCTGTATTATTTCAAAAGAAATATGAAATTGCAATCACTCTATTTATACAATCTTGAAAACTTAACAATCGTGTAGTTTTTTTTATGCTTTAAGTTTGAGAAATATTTGTGTAAATTATTTCACAGTTCTAACCTTCAGATGTTCCTCGGCCAGTTCATCTTGTACTGGAGCAACCTTAGTGACTGGTTGAGGGGCTTTCACCTGAGACAACAAGGGACACTTATTAAAATCCATAGTATAAAATAACACCCCCGCCGCAGCATCCCTGCATACTAAGCATATTACCACAATCTAATAGGATTTTTACTAAAATATTTCCTTAAAAAAGTCAGATTTATTCTATACTTATATACCATTTGATTTAACAAATACTTATGTACAAACTATATCCATAAACAAGCAAAATACATAAGTTTATTTATTCTCTACAAGATTAACATAGGAATTTCACATTATGTTTTTTTTCTGTAACCATTAGAAGTACAAAAACGCTCAATATACTAAATTATGTTTTTTTCAAAGTAATTAACTACAAGCCGCTCCAAGAGGTCACAAAACTTGGGAGAGATCTTTTTTGCACACGGGTGGCTGGAAAGAGAGAGTATTAGATCAATATGCTCGTTCCGTCAATATAGCAAGCAGACATCTGCATCGTATACCTAGATTATGAATTACACTTCATACATAATTTATAAATTAACACGATTCGTATAAGTGTTTCATCAAATAAATGAAGAGGGCAACTAAAATGTATTGTTTACAAAGCAAAATTTATCTCACCGTGGCTGCCTCTTTTTCCTTCAATTCTCTCAGCCTCCTTTCTTCTCTTTCCCTAGCTTCTTTCTCTTCTTGCAACTCTTGTGCTCTCCTCTTTTTCCTCTCTTCCTCAGCTTTCCTCCTGGCCTCTTCTTCACCTTGTTTTGCCAAATTTTCAAATTTGGCTCTTAGATTGGATGGTTTTACAGACCCTGAACATTGGGCAAAGATTTAGATTTGTATTAATGTTATTTTGTTAGGGGTTTTTTTTCTGAAAGAAACAAGATGGGTTACAAGTTTTAATTGTTCGTCATTGTAAAACATTTATATAAGAACATATTTTCTTAAAATTTTAGCTGTCCAAAAGTTGCTAAAAAATATTTTTTTATAAGTGGTTGTAAAATTAAATATCACTTAAAAAAGACTTTCAATAAAAGTTAATCTTGATTCCTAGAAAACTTAATGAATCCAGCTCAAAGTACCTTAGACCCGAGACCAAGTAAAAAAAGTTAGAAAAATAGGGAGAGGGGATTAAGTAGTATCAGTAATAGACTATTGGGCTCTCCTGTGTGTTAAATTTGAATAAAATCTGAACATATTGATTTGATGAGGAGGAGAGAGATATATATGAAGATATATAAGATTTAAAAACATTACAAACCAATCTCGGGCTTCTCTTTCTGATATCGTGTTCCGACTGGTTGAGGCTCATCAGCAAAGTTGTGAGCTGACTTATCAACTCTGTCCTCCTGCACGCCGAACTTTCCACCGAACCCCTAGAGACAAGAAAATAGTTACTTTTAGAGAATGTGGGGTGGTAAAATACAGCGTTTATACCGTTTTCTTACAAAACGTAAAAAATTAAATAGGTGTAGAAAACACACAAAATACAAATATCAACTTGTTAAAATAAGATACAAGCTTTTCACTTACAACAATTTCCATAATTCACACAGCCTTATAGGAACAGAATAATGCTTTAACAAAAGAATACTAGGGCTATTCAAAAAAGTAAGGAGCGTTTCGTTCTGACGCCACCAGGGGTGCGCTGATCTCGTGCAATTGGTGCGTGTGTACTCAGCAACTGAGTTGGCGTCTAGCGGTGACAACGGGAACGTCTGCTTTGCCTGTTTTTTTTTTTTTTTTTTTTATTTTAGCTTCAAATGTGCGCTGAGTTTGAAAATCCCGCCAGTTGTGAGGTGCGGTTAATGATAAGATTTTTTTGGCAAAAAACTTAAAACCAATAGACATTTATTGCCAAGTTTGTGAAGTTTACGGAAATAACATAATGAAGTAAAGTTATGTGCGAAAATGGTGAATTCAGTTAAAAAATGGCCGAACTGACATCCATGAGTCATGACAAAACCAAGGGCGGACACCCGAGCATTGTGACTGATGGAACTGATCGCTTAAGTTGATGAAAGATTATGAAAGGTTAAGTTGACGATACGGAGCTTTTGCTTTGATGTGTGGTAATTTCAAATAACAATGTCTGTGAAACTTGAGGGGAACAAAGCGTAAAAATAAGCTCCGTTATTGGTGTTTCCACGCATTGGGCCGAATTTCACAGCCAACGGAGCAGGGTAGGAACACTGCAGGGATGTTCCCAATATTGCTGTATGGAGTCGATAGAATCCAGTCACATCTGGTTAAACGATTCTTGTCTAATTTAGCCTAGCTTTTATTCTTATGATCTAAGTGAGCGTCAGGAAAGATTGTGTGATCAAAATCCCTCATTTCACCACAAAGTCGATCATGATGACTCCTTGAATGACAACGATGACATCTTCATGACCAAAGAACGCTATCACGGCAATCTCGGTTTGTGACTTTGGAGCGATCACAAAAGATAACAATAGGCCTAATTGTTTACGCTACTGTGGTGTGATGGTGCTCCGATTTTGTGATCATGACGAATTATACTATGATGACATTGTGATGAATACATAGATGTATATTTGGTTTGAAGTATCTATATGAGGTTAGGAATATGAATATGAATATCTACGATAAGATCGAGTTGGTTGCACTACCTTGTTATGGTCAAGTTGGCTCTCATGTTTAGGAACAGTTTCCACATGGTCCCAGCCCACTGCGGACTTGTCCTGTCTGTCCGCCTGTACGCCAAACTTGCCTCCGAAACCCACAGCGTAGTCTGCAACAAGGATTGTGAATCCTTACATTTCAATTCCAATTGACACTTTACACATCTGGCAGTATAATTAGATAACAACTTAATTGATTTTATAACAACAAAAATATAATGTTACTGAAAACATGAAGAATAGAGGATAACATGGGTGTATTCTGTTTTCTTTAAAGATACATATTTCCTTGTTATCAATATCTGTAGCCCCCACTCATGTTATTCATATCGGAACAAGGAAGTGTTTGGCGATGATGTGCGATTAGGCTGGATGTTTTGTTAAAAATTAACTTGTTGCACTCATGGGTGTCTTTGATTTTAAAACATGATCACAAGGATGAAGACAAGGAGTTTTTTTTTTTTTTTTTTTTTTTTTTCGGGTATTGAAACATTAGACAAACAATGTAATTTTATACATAATAGCCTATATTAATAGGAAAACACATTAAAAGAATGTATAATCAATAACATTGTACATGGAATCAATAAAAACTCTTGCTCTTACCCGGGAGAGATGCGAGAGCAAAATATGGTTCAATTGGTTCCTAGAAAGAGGATCCTGAGGTACTTTTACTCTTAAGTCGGATGGCGATAACAAAAATTTTTCTTTAAAAACAAATGCGCCCAGAGGAAAACTCTGTGGTGTCACCAATGAAGAGTTAATATACTTGATCTGGGGTTAGTTTGTGAAATTTAGTTGTGTTAGAAAAAGGGTTCCAAAGGAGCTGGGGTGTTTGGTCTTTTGTTAATGTGTGTCTAAATTGTTGGAATTGTTTTTTTTATTATGGTTTCAATTTAAGTACTGTATTTATTAGCCTGTCCAGATTTTTCCACCTAGGATTTCCGTAATTTTTGGTTGGTATTTTTGTATAGATTTTGGATTGTATAATAAGTATTTTAACGAGAATTTTGAGTTTAATTCCTAAGCTACATCAGTTATCTAATTCCATCTCAAAACCAAAGAAGCCAAGATTATTACCTTTCCAGGTTACTAAACATCTAAAGAATATAACATCATGAATTACAGTTTCTTACCGGTTTGAGATTCGTGTTTTGGCACTTTCTCCACATGGTCCCAGCCCACTGCGGACTTATCTTGTCTGTCAGATTGTACCCCGAACTTGCCTCCGAAGCCTGACCTGTAGTCTACTTGTGACGCGTGCTTCTGGGGAGCCTCAATGTAGTCCCATCCAGCAGCACTCTGTAATCAACAGATGAGTTACCGTAACCAACTATCAACTAATGGTGGGGGTTATTTAACGTAACAGGATAAATAATACTACTACTGAAGTGTCACCTGTTACCTTGGTAATAGTTAGTGAGAATATACTATAATTTTTGTAACATCATCGGAAGTGTATGAAAAAGTGAATGAATTTCGCCGATTGATTTCCTATCATCAGCTAGCATCACAAAATAATAGTACATTGGTAACAGATTATTAAGAATGCATATTTTTTAATGGTTGGCCATTTCATAAATCAACAAATTAAGATTAAAGGTTGTATATTTTTTGCTTTGAGGATGAGCGTAGAGTTTTTTTGGGTCAAAAATCCATAATTTTACTGCACGTACAAAGGAAAATATTGACTATTAATTAAAAACTACAATTAGGCTATAGGCCTAATGGTTTTGGCTGAAACAGGTTGAATTTTAATTAAAAATGAATGTTCAGTAAATATGCCATTTTTTTAACTAGTTGGATCCAAATAAAAAATCAAATCCGCTTTACTATTATTGCAAAAATAAGGGGCCATACCTTGTCAGTTCGGTCCGTCTGCACTCCAAATTTGCCTCCAAACCCAGTGCTGTAGTCCTTCTGTGATGCATGCTTCTCCAGCTTAGCAACGTAATCATGGCCGACCGCTGACTGGTCCATCCTGTACATACGAGATAGGAATTAATAACTAATCACTAATAAGAGTAAACAAATATAACTCAATAATCCTTCCTGTATTATTTTATGAATCTGAGATTTTGGCACTAACAAAACAGTGTGAAAATAAGAAACTGAGAAGGATATATGGAACGGAAATTGATGAATTAGGGTGGAGAATGCGAAAGAACAGGTAAACTTAACTAACTAAATTAACTTTTTAAGGGACATATATCAATACCGAGTATCGTTGCTAGAATACAAAAAGGATGGTCGGTTTTGAAATTAATATAGGCCAAATGGTTTTACACATAAATTTTACTGACTTACGTTTCTGGACACTTTTAAATGCCACATTACAAAAAATAACCTTGTAAGTTACAAATTTCCTAGTAGGCTATGTAAATAAAACCATAAAAATTTAAAAATTAATATACCATTAAAAGAACATAGCGGACATTGAAGCACTGACACTCATACGGTTCCTTTTTTTTGGAGTAACTACCGTATGTGGAAGTCCAGTAGATTTACCACTCATGACAGACCCTGTTGTCTGAAACGCAGTCACCCAACTTGATATTGATCTGCGATCAGGGACCAGTCCATTAAGGGCTACACCTAAATGTTGTCGAAACATGTACCCTTGCACCGTAATAAAAGATTCACTGTTTCTGGAAAACTGATCCACAGCAAAATCACAGTGCTTGACCGTCCACTGCCCCATCTCGTGGCAAATATGATCATATGGTCGACTTAGAGATGGCCAGCAGTGGACCCAACCCTCCCCCCCCCTACTAATACTACGCAGTTCAACTCGGACCATCCTATTTGCGCCACCCTGTATAAAGCAGAAAACTAAGATGGGCAGGACAAGTATGGAGATAAGAAGATAAATCTATAATCAAACAGTACTACCCGGAAGGCAGGAGACCACTTGGCAGACTGAGGTTTTGTTGGAAGAACCAGGTACTGAAGGAACTAGCAGGATTAGAAACCACCCTTGAAGCAGCTTAAGATAGAGAGTAGTGGAGAGGCATCGTTGGCGAGACCAAAAACCTTCTTTGTTTTAGTGGCGAAGGAGGTGAGGTAAGTAAATAAGAGAGCTCGGTATATTCAGTAAAAAAGTAGACATTTGCATTGAGATTCATGTTAGGTCTAGTTTCTTTAGACAAAACAGAGCCCTTTTCCTAGCCCCAAGTCCGTCGCAATCCAGAATAATGTGTTTTGCAATCTCATCAGACAGGTTGCAAAGTTGACACTCCTAAAAACTGCTCTCAGAACCAACAACCTCTTCACTCGCTGGCTGCTAAAGCTGGGAAGAGGGCAGGTCAAGCTGGGACTTGCTCTTACCACTAGACACGGCCATTTCAGGAAACATCTCCACACTCTAGGAATTGTCAATGACAATCAGGAGTGTCGACTTTGCAACCAGTGTGATGAGACTGTAAAAAAAATTATTCTGGATTGCGACTGACTTGGGGCTAGGAAAAGGGCTCTGTTTGGGTAGCACAATAAGCTTCCGTTGACGTGCTTGTACCACGATTCCACCCCTCTCAAAATACAATACCATACAATAGGTCTAGTTTTTTTTTATTTGAAAAGTAAGCCACATCTATCTAAACAAGTGAATTGAATACCAAAAACTTTAAATTACTTGTAATTAACTAGCTGTAACTTTGGTTGATCGAACCAATAGTAATTTTGCTTTATCGAAGATGAGATCAAATTTTTAGATTGGAGGGGATATGATATGACTACGAAAGAGCAGAAAACTTATTTGACCTAATTCTACAACCATATTTTTACGTGTACCTAATGAAAATGATTAATGATCAGCTACTGAATGTTCCAGGATCCAACCGGCAACCTGATTTCATGGAAAGCAATATACAGTGTTTGTGTTGTAAGGGTACAAATCACATCAGTAAATTTTGTACTTTCCAACAACGCTGTAAAGAGGTTTCTCTGCTACATTACTCAATTGATTGCAATTAACTATGCACTAAAATATTGACAACTGTTTGTGGTAAACATTCATCACCATGCAGTCAACACTAATGTGCACTTACTAGATACACCTCTCTGTATCTACATCAAACATTACATTACATGAAGAAATAACTGAGCAAATTTTTGAGGTCCTACCTGTCTTTCTGGACTCCAAATTTCCCACCATATCCAAACGTAGCTTCATTAACTTCTTTTTTCTTCCTGGTGGCATCAGCCAATGCTACTTCTTCACGGAGTTTGTTCATACTGTAACACAAACAATAACTTTAAGAAAAACATTTTAAAATCAAACTGTGTTTTGAGTCATTGATTTTCTTTTAAAGAGGTAATATTGGCATCTTTTAACATTGCATTTGCCCGCCAACATAGGCTATGGGTGCATGGAACGTATCCAGCAAAGCAAGGGGTGAGCCTGTAGCCTACAGTACAAGGGTGAACTGTACTGATAAAAAGTGGCGGCAGGTACCAGGATCCGAACTCATAACATCGCTGCCTTGTGCCTGAAGTCCGTGATGCTACGGACTGGGCCATCAACTCACCAACCTCGCATTATGGCTTCCAGAATCTCTCCAGCCCACACAACCTTACACAAAAAAATATATAGGCCTATTTGTTAGAAAGTAAAAATTTATAACAAGATAAAATATAACTTAAGACTTACTCGATAGCACCAGCTGTTCGGCCAGACGTTCCCCATCTCTGCTCCTCCTCAGTGATTTCGTTGACGTAATCGGTATCAGTCTCCCAATCGTCATCATTATCATTATTCAGTTTCTGTGGCTCAACGTTGTGTCCTGCACTAGCTTTCCACATTTTGCAGGTAGGCCTTGAGTTTGTGCTCCTAGAGAAAAAAATCAATCATTTGTGATTTCAAACTTCTCAAATTTAAAACTTGATTGATAGAATAGAGCCAAGTTGGTTAATTTAGGAACAGAACAACAAAAAGGTCGTGTCTTTTAGGTTAGGCCTATTGTAAATAGGCTACCGCATTCTTTTAGATTAATGGCGATAAGTTTGATGGATTACAGATAGATTGGAGATAGATTAGATTTTAAGCTTGGGTTTATTAATTGTAAAGACCAGAGAAGATTTTCATGAACAACACACGTAGCAGAAGCAAAATTGAAATTCCTAGATTCTGCCTCACGGGAACACAGCGCCATTTCCCAGCCTTCTCTTGGAAGTTGTTCAACAAGCTTCTCTCAGAGCTCATAAGACTTAATAAAACCCGCCATGTCTTATTTGAAATATTTTTATTTCATTCATTTTAAGATAGGTATAAGTTTGCCTTTTGTTTGTGTTGTAACTTAATATTTATTTGAAAATTTGACGCAGTTTATGCCATAGCTATGCTGTTCAACAACGTAGCCTTGGTAATAATAAGGTAGGCAAATAATTAATAAACGAAGTAGGCCTAAAGCATTATTATACAAGCCTAATGTATCAAAACTGTTATTCAACTAAAATTGTTAAAAAACTTTATGAATGTCTCTAACTACCGGTAGGCCTACCTATTTCAAAACGTTTGATACAGTATTTTAAGATTGCATTTCAGAATGTAAGCTATGGTCAGTTGTATAAAAAAAACGGCAAACATTTAGGACATAGACATCACCTTAAACACACTTCCTGAAGTGTGAAATTGTGTAAAAAGAGTGTGCCTAATTATAGCCTAATAAAGTTTTTAAAATTTACCATGAGTTTGGTTCTGAAATGTTAGGCCTACTAACTTAGGCCTATTATTATTTGGACATTTCCAACGTTTCATGTGTTTGAAACTACACAACGTTTCTAGAGGTGGATCAACTCCTCTCGTTTTCAGGTGAAATTACTATGACCTGACTACATTAACTTAATCTTCATAAAGTTAGCCCTCAAAAGGTGTAGGCCAGTCAATAAAACATGTTTTTTTACTGAACAGGCCAATTCATGTAGCAATAGAGTCTTTTGAAAACGCCGGGAGGAGTTAATCTTCCTCCAGAAACGTTGGGTAGTTTTAAGCACGAGAAACATTGGAAAAGTCCAAATAAACATACTTAGTGACATGTCTACCACCTGTGCCTTGAGCCAGTCCGAATTAGCATACCAGTAACTTTTACATTTTTCATCATCACAGAACCAATTTCAATCAATTCAATCAATTTCAATATTTGTCATGAGAGCCGAAGCCCCCTGACTACATACCCGGTACCTATCGTGAGACTTACCCGGGCCCCATGATGTAGGCCGAAGCTTAGGCATCAACCTTTTGCACATCATGGGCGGATGACTTAAGGTCATCAGGCTCACCGGCTGCCGAAGCAGACCCTTCGGAAAAAGGGTTGCACCTCAATCCTAACCAGGGTTTCCGGCTACTTGTTTAAGCGTCACTCCACCTGGGTTCCACTAGGTCGGGACCTAGAGGACCATGGTAGAGCGCCCCGACGCATTTAGTGCAAGTAACACTCGGGACCTATCTAATCCCTGACAGGCAAACCCGCCATCAATAGCCAGAAGGAAGGGGACCGTCAGCACGCTGACGGGGGGAACCCCAACCTCCCATTTACACCACTACCCGATCGAGGCCTTACCCAGTTGCTGGGAAACCAGAGATAACCAGAGCGATAGATCCCCAGATACCCCTGGCGGGCTCGGACCCAGCACCCGATCTACTTCGTTTGCCCGTCAGACCCAACATCACTGCCAGGCCATCAGGGTTTCCCAAAAGGAGGCAGGTATAGAAGTGGGACCCACCCGGATGAACCTATCCACCAGAGGTGGCGACACCCTTGACTCAATTGAGGTTCCGGGAAGAACCCCCCACACTCAAGATAACCATACCGTCCGTGCTCAGAGAACCATCACAGAACCGCAAAGATCAAAGCACTTCTCATGTAGCCTACAGTCCCGCAAACTCGGCACTCGATAACCCGGCAGTCTGGATAACTCGGCCATCACCTGGCTCAGAAATTTGTGATTTTTTGAGTCCGAGTTAAACATGGGCTCAAGTCAAATCATTCGCAACTCGTAACAAGGATTTGTTGTAGGCTACTATATATGATGACTTAATACTGACTTGTAATATAAATATAAATAGGCTAAATAAGGCAGCTAAAAGGAATAAAAATTGTATTGTTCTTATTTTTAACCCTAGTTCCCGATAAACCAGCATTTCACAAACCCTTCCAGTCCCCACATTACGCCGAGTTTGCGGGACTCTACTGTAGGTACTACCACAGACAAGCTTAGTCAATGGTACTACTTAAGAGATCGTTGGAACAGTTGCTGGCTAAGTTATAGCCTAAATCTGACCTGGAGGGGAGATTTTTGAGCACGTCCCAAGTTTCCCAGGTCTTTTGTTATTTGAGCAGCAATATCGAGACCCCCAAGCAAAGCTAAGAAGGGACTATAAAACTTAATTTACTTTGGTGTGGTAAAATAGGAAACTAGGCTAAGTTACATATTTAAATTAATACTGAATTTATATTCCTGGAGCATATTTGTTTTGATGTAGCCTTAAGTTAGGGCCTATCTATTATTTAATTGCTCGCAAAGATAATTTATTATAACAATTTGGTGCCTTGAAAGGTTGTAACAAACTATCATTGGGGTTATGAGGTTAGTGGGGGGTCTAGTAAGCCTGTTGTGGGGTTCCACGTTCCACAATTAATTAGGCCCCTTTGTTGTTTATTAAACATTCTATGGATATTCAATGAACAGTGTGTAGGCCTACCTATTTTGAAAATCAAATTATCGATGAGTCACTTGGCCTACTAGGCCTAGGACTAGTTTGGTTTCTTACAAACTAGGAAAACTAGCCTGCCAGGCAACTTTTCTTAGTGACAACTTGGCTTGATTCCTCAAAATCGAGTAGATAATGCAAATGCGTTGGTAAAAATCTGATTAAGCAATTGGAGGGATAACTGTTTTATTGTATATGTGTACTTACCTAATAACTCAAATAATATAAATAGAGATGTGACACATAACCAACAAACCACTTCAAACAAAATAAACTGTGGCGACACTGTAGTGTGAGTACTGTGACACTGTGACCCGCTGATGCTGATTGGTGATTGGGTTTTGGGTTGGGTCTGGGTGTGTGTGATTCAGATTTAGGCAGGGTTAGGGAAGGAGGCGCAGGAGTAAAACTAGTGATAGAATAGAATAGATAGCGTTAGCGTAGCAGTTGCTTAGTTAGCGAATTTCCCCTAAAGGGCTATTATATAGCTATTACCGAAGTACCATAGATAAAACATACTCCCATGGTAAGACCTGGACTCGGGACTGATTTAATTTTTAATTTTGAGGTCCCTAGAGGCCAAAAACACCCTCCGTTCAAATTCATATATATATTTATGTATGTGTCCGTTAGCACGATAACTCGAGCAAAAATGATCCGATTTTGATGAAATTTGGCACAAACGTGTAAACCTACGTTTATTCGAACGAGTTCGCGATCCAGCATAATCGGACCATGGGAACGGGGGTTTATGGGAGATTTTATGAGGTAAAAATGAGGTTTTCCCATTTGTTTACCCTAAAAACTAAATACCCCCGCCACAGCAAACCTGCAGACTAAGCGAATTTCAACTTGCCTGGTTACGTTTTTACTCAAATATTTCCAAAAATAAGACATATTTATTCCCTATTAAAATAACATTAGATTTAACTAGTACTTAGGTTTGCTGCTACGGGGAAGGTAAAATGTGTTTTTGGACCATACGTCAATAGTATAAGATGAAATAAATAAATTCGCCAAATGTTATCAATATATATCCATAAACAAGTAAACTACAACAATTTTCATTTTCTCAATAACAATAACATAGAAATTTTAAATTACACTATTTTTGAATTTTCTCCGTGACCGTTAGGCATACAACAGCGCTTCAATATACTAAATTATTTCTTTTACATTGCCTGAATCGGCATCTGATACCAGAATGAAGAATTCATTCCGGTAAGCAGGCGCCTGCGTGCGGGCTCGGAAACCGGCGGCCACTACGGCCACTTCCATTTGAATGCATGTGCCATTCCTGCCACCGAAAATCTGAATCGGCGTGCACTCTGGACGTACCGATACTGTGTGTGACATATACCTTTGCATTGTTAATGAATATCACGTGTTATAGTTGTCAAACAGTGAAACATAGTGTCCAAACACGGGGGCCTGATGATTTTAAAATACATCTATACCTCAATGCCTCCTACATAATATAATATCCTCATACATAATATCAATGCCTCCTATGCGATTTGGGAGATTCCAAAGCTCTAAGAACTCACAGCTAGAGCTAATACAAAGGGTCTATTGAAGGCACAGGGTTATGAATCCACCGCAAAACACACCTGTTCCTGAAAATGTTGTTTTATATGAGACTCCTATTTTTAATAGGAGTAGTTGGTGCAATTCAGGAATACCCGACTACCTGACTCAGGTCAGTTGTTAGCGCAATTATTGCCCGCCCTAAAACACTACCATAATTGTCAATGGACACAAGACTCGTATGTAAATTAGTCAAATGTCCAACATGAGATCATTATAGAGTGAGATGGAGCTCAACATTTGTTGGTCCTTTTCCGTTATTTCACTACCACTGTGGTTAGGAATGTTGTTAGGTTAGGTTTATCAAACTCTATATTAACCAAACCAAAGCTTAATGCACTTCTATTGCTAAATAATCTGTTGCTCTAAAAACTAGTTGTAGTGAATTAACAGAAAATGTCCTCATTTGCTTTAGTTAAACCTGAGGTTAAACGCTAAATTAATTCCAACCAACCAATTTGTTATTATGTTATTATATCACAATTGAATCAATTTGACAGGTTTTTAAATTAGGTAGTAAAAATACTGAATTACTATTTCATAAACTTAAATATATCTTTGTTTATTGCTTTCATCATGTTACCATGGATATTGAATATTGCATTTATATTAATTCAATCAATACACGCAGTAATTTAAACGAAATCTAGTTTAGTAAATATACTTATTAGGTACCTTCTTGGTATAAACAAGTGGATCTGTCATCTCCTAAGAAGATTGTTCAACCCGGAAGTAATGGAATCCAAAAAACGCCGAAACTTAACCTCTCAAGGCTCAAAAGTTGTCACGTCACGTCAAATGTGTGGATATAAACGGCTACGTTGTACCAAAGATTACATATGTTGTACTATTTGATTGAGTAAGTACACGTCTATGGAGTGTTAATATAAGAGCAATAGCCTACATATAAATGGAATGTAATTGTTCAATTAATGTTAATAGGACTAAATCTAAATCAATATAAATCACTCGAAATGTATAATTTGTAGTTTTTAAAACAAACTTAGCACACAACATCTACAGAAGGAAGTAAAACGTTAGGAAGCAATACATTATTTTGAGACTTTGAAGTTGGACGACAAAGATATCAATTTGGTAAATTTGATGCGTAATAATAACGTAATCTATTTGATTAGTAATATTAATAAGGTCTTAATACTATGTGTTGGGCATCACCCTACACTAGATCCAAACATCTACAGTATCTAGAAAACAAAACCAGGATAGATATAGTAGACGATAAGTTATTCCAGGTAATGGATAAGTCCCTCCATTATGTTGATTAAATTAAATCAAATATTTTGTTATCCAATTTGTAAACTCAAATCTCTCTGGATTTTGAAATTTCGATTACTTTACCACGCCGTATTGTCATTAGATTTCATGTTAAATATTATCTTTTTTTTAATTGAGAGAAAATTTCCGTTCAAAAGTTTGCATTATAGAAATAATTTATGTTTGTTTTAAGTTATTGCCAAAGGATATCTCATTGAGACATAAGAGGTCGACTAATGTGTGTGATATGTTTACTTCCGAATCTTTCATATTACCTTCAGTTGTAATATGTTATGATTTGTCTCAGATTTAATGCATTATGGGATTGGACTAGATACTAGAGGAGACAGTATACAGGTAGGCCTACGGTATATTATGTTATTTTCTCTAAATCATCATTATTAATTTTAAGCCGTTCCTCGACCCGGGCGATCGAGTCACAGCTTGGCAGAGATTGAAACAATTATACTCTCAATGGGTGTATTAATTCACATACTCTTAATTCACATACTCTCATATGGATGTATTAATTCACTTACATCCCTGCGAGAGGCAAATGCAATTATTTACATTTTATGTATTTTAGTAAAAAAAAGACTTCCTATGAGTTTAATAAATATAATAGTAAAAAGTTAAGTAGCTTTTAAAATGTATATAAACGATAGCAGAAGTTTGATTGAATTGAAAAACCTGTATAAAACAGAGCTCTCGCAATGCAAAATATTGCTTTGTTTACATTGGGCCTGCAATAGTTCAGGGGTTTACCAGCAGATGGATTTGGGGTATATCTCTGGCGGCCAGAATTAGCTACCCTTAAAATTTACGATCTAAAGAGTGATGTGGTCAATAAAGGATTCAATAAATTTAATTAGTTTAAAACTGACAGAAACGTAGATATATTATATATGAAATATTTTATTTTAATTTAAGTATAAATTATCCTAATATACTTTTTTTATTTCATTTTTGTGTACGTCATGAGAGCTTATATGAATATTCACTCCAAAACATCAGCATCGATGGAAGTGTTAAAAACCTGACTAATGATGTAAATTTGAGAGCAACACATTTATCTGAACCTTAGGTGAGTTACAACTTCAATTCTCAGTTTTACTGCAGATAATAAAAACTAACATAATTAATGTGTTAAATGAATAACCATTCACAAAACTTTCAAAAGTCAAATTTTACGTCCTTCAATTGACTTTAAATTTACTTTTATAATTCATAACCATTCATGCGTAGCCTAAAGATGCAATGTTGACTGTTGCCATAATAGTCTGTGATGTTATATATTTACAGCATTTATATTAAGTTTACATTAGACCTGAATTTCATCAGTTAAAACTGTAACAATTGTGTTTCGTGTTTTTGTAGGATGCCATTTCCAAATACCGCCTTCCAGTAAGCATGTTAATAACACTTAAGTTGCTTTGGTGATGGTTAAATTACTCATTACAATACATATTGAACACGACAAATGCCACAAAATGTTTAATAGGGGTGATACGATTGGCATTTCATGAAAAACAGAACAGGCAAACAACCACAACCAGGTAGTTACGATTGGAACTACCGACAGGTACTTAATCCATATAAGTTTATTTCTTAATATTTTAAAGCCAAATTCTTAATTTTTCTTATTATTGCAATTCTATTGACTGATCCTCAATTTCAACAGAAACACCAAAATGAACCGGAGAAGAAATATTTCTTGAGCCATCAAAGAGGTGGGTCGACAGGGCCTGTACACACAACGGATTGTTGGGAAGGAAATGACAAGATTGCCAAACTATACGTTTATTGTGTGTATAGCGTCAACAGAAAGCTTCAAGAACTTTGAAAATCCTAGAATCTTTCAGAAAATTCAAGTTGAACCTTAATTTGTATTCGAAAAATTAAATATATGCTTTTCAATGTAGTATCGAGGTATTGTTTTAGTCGACCACAAAACAAATAGCATAGCCTACTCTTGGAATAAAATGTTCATTGTCAAATTAAATTGAATCAAACCGACAATTAATTTCAACCTGAGAGTGCGCTGCTGTCCATAGTTTGATAAGTGACTTTTAACTACATTACTTTTTAACCTAGCCAATTCAGGAAAACGTGTTTGAACTACCACTTCTTGTCAATGTCATCACCATAGAATAGAAAACTCAAGAGATAATAATAAAAAAAATATAACATTAGTTTTATATACTTTCATTTGCGAACCAGCATAATCGGACTATGGGAACGGGGGTTTATGTGGGGTTTTATGGGGTGAAATAGATTTTTCTTATTATTGTCCTTAAAAACTCAAAATTTCATAATTTCTCTCCAAACCATTTTGTAGAGCTTAAAAAAAAATAATTTAGTAGGTACATTAGTTCTGTTTTCACTAAACCGTTTGTCTATTCTAGAGCTTTAAAAAAATTCATTACATGACGTATGTTGAACATTTGAAAACTCTG